GTCACCTAAGCAGTTGTCGCAATGTTGCGTCTGATTCTGGCCCTTCGGAGATCAAGGCTTTCAAAGTCGTTTTTTTCAAGAACCTTGACTTAAAGAATGTCTTCATTTTTTTAGATTTCGATGGAAAGCCGTCGGGAAGCGCCTGTGTTTCTATTTGGTTCAATTTAATCACATTACAGTAGGTTCCGCTTAAATTGGTTAAGATGATCGTTGCTTCTATTTATTTGAACCAAATCTTGAATAACCAAAGCAAATATGATGACGAAATATTGTCAACCCCACAGCACTTTTTCCCACGAAAGAAAACTCGCAAGTCCCTTGCTACTATGTCGCTATTTCTATGTAAAATGTTCTGAGGAGCTACATTTCTTAGTTTCATCAGGCCTTCACAGCAAAAGAGCAGCTTAACATATATAGAGTCGAAACATCACCATTCCGTTCGTATTCCTATGTTTTATAGATTATGCAAACATATTGGATAAGATACGTCACAAAGAACTATTTGAACTACTAGGGGAACTTTATTTATTTAGGAAATATATTAGAATAATCCAGAAGCAAACTGACAGCGTAACGAGAGAAAATGAAATAGGAATACGTAAATGCACACCAATAGAAAGGGACGTAAAGAGAGTATAACTATTATAACCTGGTTTATCTCGCCTTTACAGCGGGTCGATCCTAAGAGAACTACAACTCCTAGCAGCTTCAGTATTGGCGGACGCAATTTTAACTATCTATGATATGCCTGTGAAACAGTGTTGATAGCAGAGACAGAAAGGAAACTGCAGGGACACCTGGAGAATTAGAAAAGGAAAATAGGAAGGAAGTAATATGTATCAACTACAAGAAAGGAGACCAGCAAGATGCGAACTACGAATTCATGCAGTTCTTTCTTTTTATGTGCCGTGTCCCTTCAGGACGTAGACGGTCATGGCTCTCCACTTCCTCCTATTCCTGGTAGCTATCAATAAGTTTTGTCCCTTTGCTACTTCCCCCAGACCATGTTCTGTCATCCGCTTGCTTAAGCCTGCTAGGTATGTCATGCGTTTCTTTCCCTTGTTTCTCTTTCCCTCTATTCGACCTGTGAGTATCAGATTCTCCAAGCCCTTCTTTCTCATTACGTGTCCCAGAAACTTCAGCTGCCTCTTCCTGGTTTTAAGTATAAGCTTCCTCCTTGTTTGTATCCTCTCCAAAACCTCATCGTTGCTCACACGCTCGGTCCATGATATCCCCAGTATCCTTTTGTAGAACCATACCTCCGTTGTCTCGAGTCTCTTCTTCATTTTTTAGGAGACCGTCCAAAATTCGCTGCCGTAAAGAAGGACTGATGTCACGTAGTAGCTCAGTACTCTTTTGTTTGTTACCAAAGAAATTCTCCTGTCTTGTAATACTCTGCCTAGCTTTTGGAATTCGTCCATGCCATCCCAATACGTCATCAGATCTCAGCGTCGCACAGTCCTCTGTCAAAACACTTCACAGATATTCAAATTCCCGCACCTGCTCGATTTTAGTATCCCCGACCTGTAAATCACCTTTTGGGCTTATCCTTTTACTGATGACCATGTATTCTGTCTTCTTGTACTTTATGCTTAGACCTTTCTTCTCGCTCTCCTTCGCTTTTAAATTTAAATATCTGGGAAGTCTTTTAACAGATTATGTGACACTGAAAACCCACAGCGCATTGGAATCGTAAAAGGTAACAGACAGAATGTAAAAAACGTAATAAGACACCAGAAAATTTCGTTAGAAACAAAGAAAAATGCTGAACTCTATTGGAATATTGGTCCTCTCTTATGTCAGGGAATGCTGGATAATGAAAGCGACAGAGATAAGGTTGTACAGAAGGATGCTGAGAATACTATGGATTGAAAAATATGAACCTTTAAGGAAAAGAGAAAAAATGCTTATATTTAGAATGAGAAAGAGACAGCTTAAATTAAAGGACAGAGAATTTGAGGAAAGTGAGTTTGAGGAATTTAACACACTCAGGACATATTGAAAACAACACGGACAATGGGAAACAGAGTGTAACCTACCTAACGAATTTGTGTAAATGAATGGCAAAAAAGAGGGATGGTGTAAAGACATTCATTACTAAGAGCTAAAAATAATAGGAAGTAATGAAGAGCCATGTTCACTACGTCCTGAAGGGACATGGCACATAGAAGAAGAATATACCTTGAAAGTATGTGCAGGTAGTGTAGGGTGTGACGTCGTCCCCTGGTCGCAGCGCCAACTGTGACGTTCTATTCTGGTCTACCACGGCACCAACTGTGACGTCCCTAAACAGCACCAATTGTGACGTCCTCGCCGCGGCGCCAGCTGTTCGCTCCTCGCTGCTCCGCTCGGGTGTCGCTGCTCCAAACGTGACGTCTGCCTGTCGCGTCAGTCGTGTTGTCTCGTCCTGTGACGACCAGCTGGCTTGGTATCGGTCGCGGCACCCAAATGTGACGTTCTAACCTTTTAGTGATTCGGGTGGGAATCTGGTTAGATATCAGCCTCGTCGTTTCCAACTCGCTTCCAACGCCTGGTTACCAAGGTAACTGCATTGATCCCCAGTCTGCCTACCCACGTTGTGAATGGATCTTAGGCAGACGAGATCAAACAGTGGTTGGGGCCGTAATGCAAACCGAGTTCAACGGGGGTAATACCACACAAATATGCATAAAAGAAAATAAAAGGAAAACTCAAAAAGTTCAAAGTATCAAGGAAAAAGGTAACAAACTTTATGTCTAGTTGTTCGATACATAGGACTGCATCTATCTCCCGACCCGTTCTATGGATTGTGACACGTCGTTTTCCGTTAGGCAAATTTTAACGCTTTTAACTCTCTAAGAAATTGGTTTTTCGGTGTGTCTTCGGACGAAAGTAGAAAAAAAAAAACTTATTTCGGTGGTCTGGATCTAAGTCGCTCTTCAAAATAATTGTTCTTGGGTTGAAGAGGAGTCCGGAATTTGCGTGAATCTTGGTCAGCTATCTGCGAGGCGGCTTCAACTGGAGACTCAGCTCAAACTTTTCTGGAACTGAACTCACTGGAACTGATTTCTGCTCGTTGTGGTTTCGCTTATATGGGCGCCGACCAAAACCGGGGTGGGTCTTTCGGCGTCGGGGTTTCCTCGATAATTCTAAATACATATCCACCTCTCTGGTTAGGAATTTCCACTTTTTCCATTTTTGGGAACCTTTCCTCCTCCCCACCTTCTCACCATACTTCAGAGGGGCGTGAACTGCCCTCCCCACTTCTTCGTAGCAGCTTCTCATACCTACACTCTGGATGGGCGGCGACAGCCTCCTTCGTGCGTCACGTGATCACCACTTGACCAATGATGTCTTAGTCGGGCGTGGACGAATCCGCGGCTTTGTTTCAGGAAAAAAAATATCTTGCTTAACTAAAAAAAATTATCCCTTCTTTTCCTTTTCATCCTCTTAATCGCCGTTATCATTTTTCTAGCCGCAAACGGGACAATATGAACAATGGCGGTCATAACTCTTGTTCTACACGTTGTTTCGTCAGGTATTTTATCGCTAATTATCCGAATGGGTGGTCTTCTTAACACGGCCAACGTCACCCCGAAAAGACATTTCTAAATTCCCATTCATTTACCTTCGGTACATATTTCTGATAACATAATTTTATTATCGCAGGCCAAGGATGTTCCGTCGAAGAAAATCGGTCAGCGGACACTCGTGGGTGGCTTTTAATTTTTTCATATCTGTCCAAAGTCCTTTTAGTTGCCTGTTTTTCGTCACTTATCGAAATAACATTTTCATTTGAATTTTTCTTTGGCCAGTCGGTCTGTAGTTGATAATAAGATGCCTTCCCGTACCAATAGTTTGTTTTCATATCCTTAGATAACACAGCCGTCGCCAAAACATATCTGATTCTTTCTTTCTTTCCCTTTCTTTTTACTCAGAATTTCCCTGTCATTGTAATGACACCCTTTCGCCATTTGTTACTTATCAAAATATCCCTTATCCATTGTCTCTTAGCCGTGTGTGTGTTCTGCTTATCATCCACGATTCGGTCCTTAGCCTCTCCTTTTCTTCTTTTCTTTCTTTTCGTTTTCTGCCTCGTTAAATGGTGCCACAAGGGGAAAGAAATCAGCGAACTGAATTCGAAATCCAGTCACGTTCATTTTCACTTTCTTATAACTACTCCTGAGAAGGTATAAATCCATCTCTTCTTTTGCACCCGAGCTTCGGATTAAATAAAGCAGCTGACTGAGTTCCTTGGCTTGAGGTGGAAACCAGTCCAGAAGAAACAAAACTCTGAATTCAAAACCAGCCTGAAGAGTTATCCTAGACACACCACTGCTCCTATGGCTGCAGTACACGTTGTGCTCATACCACCCAAATGAGTTATTTGACTTGACATGACGATGATCTGAACATTTTACAAAACATCGCTTCTTTGATATCAGTTTTATTCAGCAAACTTTGACTTCCATAAAATCTGATATACTGCATACATTTAATCAGAAATTATTTTGTTCTTCTTCCGGAAGTCTAGGATCATAGCTTTCAACAACTTCCTGTTCCTTGTAGCTCCGAGTATCTTTTACACTTTGTACTCGTTCTATCATCCATTTACTCTTTGTCCCCTGTTCTGTTATCCATTCATTCGTTAGGAAGGTTACTCATTGCTTTTCTCTGCTACTCCTGACTTCAGTGTGACTGGTAAATTCTTCAAGCCCCTTTTCCTTTATATGTCTCGAAAGTTACAAACGTCTTTTTTTTTCTGATTTTATAGATGTGTCATTTGGTTTCTATTTTTAAAGATTTCCTCGTTACTCATATATTTAGTCATTGGTATTCTAAGCCTTCATCTGTAGAACAACATGTCTGCCGCATCGGTTCCCAAAGACTTTGTTACATACTTTTAAAACTAAAGATAATGGCAAATAAGCCTCAATTTATTTATATATCAAAATTGTTAAAGATGCATTTATATTTCCGTAATAAAGCTTTATTCTAAAAGTAACAACTATAAGAAATCC